ACATACCGAGAACACGGATTTGATAACAACGGACTTGTTGGCAATTGTCTTGGACGTATAAAGACTATTCGCGAGTAACAATTTGCACGGAACTTGGACTTGAAACTAAGTCCCTCTTGTGGAGTACTTCTCCAAAAATCTCAACAACTACCATATTGTTATAAAAACCACTTTCTTGTCTTTCTAGTCGCAATTGCATCTAGTACAAGCCTTGATAGTCGAACTTCAGTCTTGCAGAGTTGAAATCACACTTCTCTCACACAAGAACTAAGCCCAAATTGCCATAATCTATACTGGATTAGAACCCGAACCCGCACGTAGATTGCAGTGTGTTGTTAGTGTTGTGTGTTGCATATAGGACTTGGATATTTCCAGTTCTGTAAAGCGCATATTTCACCTATAGCCCGTAGTCAGCGTTTCAACGGAGACAACCGGCAAGAAACTGGGATCAAACACGAACCCAGGATGAACCAACACGAAGCGGAGAACAACCAACAGCTGAGGGAACTGGGACCCAACATGGAACTCCATACAGCCAACACTTGTGGGTGATGTTCAGCACATGGGCCGGCCACAGCATTCGGTACACTGCTGGGATGGTCCAAGGCCCACAGCAGACAAGAAAGCGGGCACCAGAGGAACTGGGAACAACCAATGGGAGGTGAGAGACGGGAAACTGAGAGCAACCCACCATGAAACTGGGAACAAGCAATAACAGACAGGAAACACTGAACACTTGAGGGAATAACCAACGGGATGCCAGGAACAACCAACAGAAGAAAAACTGTTGCGTGAACTTATTCACGGGGACCAACTTCTATCCATATAACAGTCTGTCCAGGCTAACAAACTTCCTCTAAGTCTTTATGATTTTCTCATGCATGACAAACACGACACGTCGGCAGGCGGCTTGGCGATGAATTTTTCCCAACAACTATGATCCCACATGGTAAGGAGGCATCGATGCTGTCCCGGCACCAACAAGGAAACCGGGCACAAGCTACTGCTACTGGCAAGGAACAAACTGAAACATACCGAGCAAACCACGGGTGACAAACCTGAAACAGCTAACTGGGAACTGGAAACAGCCAACAGGGAACTCGGTACAACCAACACCTTTTTGCAGCGGACATGTACATAAATTCACGGGTACAAAATGAGGAGGCTACAAATTGTCAGAACAGTTCATTGATGTCTGGCACCACGGGCTGTGGCACTCAGGTCGACAACAGAAAAGAAAATATGGCCACCAGAGGAATTGGGAACGACCAATGGGAGCTGAGAGATGGGAAACCAGGAGCAAACCACCACAAACTACAACCAACAAGGGAACAACCAACAAGATGCTGGGACTGGGAACAACCTACAGAAAACTGGGAACAAAATTTGAATAAAGTAGCCTGTTCCTCCATGAATTTATTCACGGGTTGCAACTAGTAAAATAACATAAAAATAAAAGGTACACTTGTCAGAGTAGTAGGAAATGGCCCATGCCCGAGTCGAACGAGCTTCCCTACATACTGTGTTGAAGAATATAATGAATCACAGGTGTGCACCGTGCACCTCTGGGCCTTGTTCTGCTTGGAATTCAACCATGTGAAAGAGTAGTTGGTATGTAACATAGGAAAAGCGACATATGAAGCGAACAAGCAACCTCCCACATGCTATAAATGTTCATGGTGTGAATGCATGGATAGTAGGTGTGCACCATGCACCTCTGGGCCTTGTTCTGCTTGCAATTCAACCTGTGAAGAGCAGTTGATTAGAAAGAGGGGAAAAGAAAAAAAAAAACATTCAAGAGATTGACATATTGCCTAGGCTTGAATCAAACAAGCAACCTCCCACAAGAACTAACTTATGACAATGGAAATAGATAGTTGGTGTGCACCATGCACTTCTGGGCCCTTTCTTACTTGTAACGCAACCTGAATGCAACAGTGAGAAAAGAGCAGTTGATCAGAAAAAGGGAAAAATTGACCTCGTTACAATGTATGGCCCAGGCCCGAGTCAAATGAGCAACCTCCCACAAGAGTGAGATTGAATTAACAGCTATGGATAGTAGGTGTGCACCATGCACATCTGGGCCTTTTATCACTTCAAATTCACTACATAGGTAAAGGACACTGCAAGCGATGTAAAATAAAATAACATCAAAATAAAAGGTACACTTGTCAGAGTACAGTTGCGGACACACAAAGCCCGCCAAAAAAATAATCAATTTTTTTTGCCGAGATGAAGAGGCCAATCGATAGATCTCATCAAGAGCTTCACATCGATATACAAATCATGTAATTCTGTCGAGCCGTTGTGCCGGAAAGTGTCATTCTTGTTGATGGACCATCAAAAGTTTGGCCGCCGGCTAAAAAGCGTGGGAAAAATAAAATAAAATATGCAATCGACGCGGATTTTCAAGGGGAGTCTGAATCCGTCAAAATTAAAAGGATCCATCGAGCGGTTATCGCGTAAATAAAGATTTACTTCCCCATCACATGTGCTGTCACCTGGTTGATCTCCGTGATGCTTCCGACAAAACCCCAAGTTCTTATACCCACACAAACTTCCAATGGATCCCACTCTATCTTGTTCTCAACTCTCATGGCTACCCGTCGCGGACGACCTGCTAAACGTGCTAAGAGAAACATCATCAGCTTTTCCATCTCGAGCCCCTTCTCCTGGTCAGACCATCCAGTGATTTTCTACATATCTTCACTTGAAATTGATTAATTCACACAGTACTGGGGATGGTGCAAGTATCGCTACCGGCAAATCCCCAAGACCACCTTTGCCGCATCAAAGGATTTGGCATTGAAATACCTGGATGCTTGTCCAGTTGAAGTTATTCGACGATTCATCAACAGATCATGGAGGTTTATGAGTGCTTATAGAAAGGGACTTACAGGTAAGGCAGCAGAATGGGCAGTGAGGCCAAAAAAGCAGCACCGCTCAATCTCAAGTGGGGCATTGGACGCGATTGAAGCCGTGGCTGATGCATGATGTAATTTATGTAATGTGGCTGTGCACAAAAATCTGATTTTTGCCAATCACCTCAAATCACAAATCTGAAAATTGGTTCCGGGCCAAAAAATTGGCCGCCGGGCATTTCTCGTGGGAAAAACTTCAGAGGTGGTTTTTTGAGCTCTTTGAGCAAATCCGGTTCTAGTGAACATAAATTTGGGCCCAAAATAATTCTAGATCAGACTACAGATCATTTGCGGGCTTTGTGTGTCCGCAACTGTAGCCCAGGCTCAAGTCGAACGAGCATCCCACATGCTACAACAATGCATATATACCACTGAATGAATATACCAATGAATGATAGGTAGGTGTGCACCATGCACCTCTGGGCCTTGTTCTGCTTGGAATTCAGCCTTATGAATGGACACTGTGATGCAATGTAAGATAAAATAAAAGTAAAAAATACGCAAACTAAGAGGAAATGGCCCAGGCTCAAATCGAATGAGCATCCCTGACTCCCTGTATGTAGTTTTCCCTGTGATGAATGACAGGTGTGCACCATGCACCTCTGGGCCTTTCCTTACTCGAAATGGAATTTGATCTGTGAAGAAGTGGTTGATTGGGCAGAGGGGAAAAAAGCCTATTCATGACTACAGATGGCCCAGGCTTGAGTCGAACAAGCAACCTCCCACAAGAGTGAAGTTGAATTGACAGGTATGGATAGTGGGTGTGCACCATGCATGTTTGGGCCTTGTTCTGCTTGGAATTTGACCTTGTGAAAGAGTGGTTGATTTGGAAGAGAGAACAAAAGAAATCATCTGCTTTGAATTGCAACATGGCCTAGGCTTGAGTCACACAAGCATCCCTGTATAGTATCATGTGCCGGAATGATGAATAACAGGTGTGCACCACGCACTTCTGGGCCTTGTTCTGCTTGGAATTCAACCTTGTGAAAGAGTGGTTGATTGGAAAACAAAAAAAAAAGAATTCAGCAAAATTGAGGTGGGATAGCCCAGGCTCGAATCGAACAAGCATTCCCTACATATGATGCAAATCAATTTCCGATGATGGATGGTAGGTGTGCACCATGTACCTCTGGGCTCTTTCTTACTTGTGCTTCAACATGTGAAAGAGTGTTTGATTCAGAAGAGAGGAAAAATATTCATTTTTTATCCTGTCACATGGCCCAGGCCCGAGTCGAACGAGCATCCCTGTGTACTCCAACAGTCCAAGTGCCAATGAATGACAGGTGTACACTGTGCACCTCTGGGCCTTGATTAGCTTGGAATTCAGCCTTGCGAAGGGACAAGACAAGTGATGTGATGTAAAATAAAAGGTAGAGTACTGTAGGATTAAATTCATACCGGCTTGTGACCTGTGACCACACAAACCGAAATTGAGATTTCGTACTTGGGTTGGGCCGAGCGTGACACCTTTTTTTTCCGTAAATCAGTCGCAAATTCAACATATTTCCAAACTGCTTTCCAGCTGCCATCGGGCACACTTAGAATGGATTACAGCAGTACAGATCATTTACACACATTATATATTCCAATTTTCTCATTTTCAACACCTGGTTAGCCTTCCTCATGTCCCGGATGGGTCGGAAAAGCTCCCTTGGCCCATTTCCAACTCCAAGACTGCGGATTCCAGTGAACATTGGTGTGAATGCCGTGGCCCCGCTGACTGCAAATGCGCCGAGGCGAAAAATTGAATTTTTACCCACTCTTTTGCGTTTTCCAGCATTTTTGTGACTGTTTGAGATATTCGTATTTGCCCTCGGTGACCTGTGACCTGTCCGAAAAAATTCATAAATTTTAAGACCTGTGACCCGTGACATACGAATTGAATTTAATTCTACAGTAGTGGGAAATGGCCCAGGCTCGAGTCAAACGAGCGTCCTGTACATATTGAACCGTGGACATGTTATTTGCTTATGGATGGGATGGGCACACTGTTTGCTTCTGGGTCTTGTTCTGTTTGGAATTCAACCTTGTGAAAAAGCAGTTGATTGGAAAAGGGGGAAAAACACCAAATGCGATATATGGCCCAGGCTCGAGTTGAACGAGCAACCTCCCACAAGAACTAACTTATGACAATGGAAATAGATAGTGGGTGCGCACCATGCACCTCTGGGCCTTCCTTACTTGGAATTCAGCCTTGTGAAGGAAGGGACAAGGCAATGTAAAATAAAAAAAATAAAAGTAAAAGATACACATCAAAATAGAGTAGTGGGTAGGTAGGTAGGTAGGTAGGATTACATGGCCAGTCCCACTCAGGAAGCCGGTCCCAGGAAGATGATCCCGGTGTACACGCACTAAAAAAATAGCTACACCACCGTTCCTGGACCTCTTCGTCTCTCAGTAACACGCGGTCTCAGTCGAAACTCGCCGCAGAAAGCTAAAAAGACACTAGGAAGCGAAAAATAAATTAGCACATTAACAAGGTCAGCCTCACTCAAGCTAGAAAGAAACACTGGAACGGCGTAGTATACCTGTAGGATTTCATATGCAAATTTAGCCACAAGCGCGATAGTTGACCTTGAATAAATATGACTTTCAAAAATTCAGTGTTCGAAAGCTCCATTGATTTGTTGCGTAGGTCTGGAAGATCAGTGAAGAGTTTACCGAGGGATATCGCCTGTAATTCCACAAAAATGACCCAGGCCCGAGTCGAACAAGCATCGCGTACATGTTACACCGTGCCAGCATCGCTTTTGTCTATGGGTGGTACGTGCACGCCGTGTGCTTCTGGGCCTTGTTCTGCTTGGGATTCAGCCCAGTGAAGGGAGGGACAAGGCAAGTGATGTAAATGAAGGCATTGGGCAAAGTAAAGCAAAGGGTGGGTTCTTGTTGTTGTGACAACGGGTGACAACTCGCGGCGTCTATTCATTTGGGATGCCTAAGAGGCTGGTTATTGGTGCCGAGAGTTGGTACTTACACCACATTTGCCTCACATATTTATACTTGTAGTGCGAGGAGCTTGCGTTATTTGTGAGTTAGAATGGTTGGTGGGAGTTGGAAGTTGTTCTTGAGATGGAGATTGTGAAATCTAAACGCAACGCCGACGGTTCCGAAATGAACAATGGGTCGAGTCATGTAAATAGACTAACGGAAATCCGAACTCCGAAAGCCGAACGGCGAAATGTCGAAAGTCGCACGGTTGAATGGATGTGGGAAAGTTTGTGGTTGGGAAGTTGAGGAAGAAGGAAAGAACGAGGCTGGAAGAGGCGGAGGGGAGTTGAGTCAGAGGCAGCGCGGAGACACTTGTTTTATTTGCAAAACGAGAAGAAATCGATGCGTTCGGAGGGGCGGAGATTCTCACGCCGATGACGGAGGCGGAGCATGGGTACGTAATGGGATCGGACCGACGCGCCTGACGATGGAAGTTGACGACGGCTCCACGGACGCAACGCGACGCACTGCAACGGCGGGGCCATCGATACCAGCTTTTCTACAGCAGAGAATAGGCGGGGCATGGATACAGTGGCAGTGGACGGTCTATAATTGACGTGTGAACTTGTTTCCTATTGCATCAAAATGGACTGAATGGAATCGTGATGGTTCTTTCCGCGTTTTCGTAATTTTGCCTGCCCGCCCCTCCTTGTCCTCTTCTCCACCTCGACATGGCTGTGCCGGTGCCGCCCGAGCCGCCCCCGCGCTCCAGCCTCAGGCCGCCGAGTAGCGCACTCAGCTCGAGGAGCTCGTCCCTGAGTGCGACGACTCCGAGGCCGTCGCAGGGGAGTAGTACGTTTGCAAACGCCGTGGCGATGGCGTCCACGTCGCGCGCCGTCGGGCGGGCGTCCCCGCGCTCGCCGCAGTCCGCCGCGCCCTCGTCGTCGCCGCCGTCCCCGCCGCCGTCGTCGTCCCCGTACACATCGACGTCCAGCGCGGGGTCGAGGACGAGGACGACGAGTGCGGGGTCGAGGATGACGCCGTCGAGTTCCCCGCGGGCGGCGGCGCCCCCCGCGGCACGCCGCCTGCCTCTGGGACGGGGACGACGCCGCCGTCTCCAAGGACGCGGAGTATCAGTGGGCGGTATGCGGCTCCTACGGCGGCGAGTGTGAGTCGGGAGCGGTGGAGAGCGGGGCGGCAGCGAGTACGAGTACGAGGAAGGCATCAGCGCGGTACGTTGTCGTTGTCTTTCCCTTTTATACGGTCGCTCAGAATGGATGCGTGAATACAGAGTACCCGCACCCGCGCTCGTGGGGAGTGCGACGGAGAGTATAGCCCGGCCAGGTGTGTGCCGCTGCTTTTTTCTCTTGCTTTCTGGCGTGCCTCTTTTCTTGGCATCCTCTCCCATCCCATCCGTGGCTCGGGCCATATTTATATGTTACTTCTCCCGTCTTCCTCGTCCTCGTTTATATATATACTCACGAACGAATCCTAGTGCGACAACGACTGCGAGTCCGAATGGGAACGGGAGGTGCGTTTGGTTCTTCGTTCTGGATTTGCTGTGGATAATGCTTGGGATTCCCTCGGGTGGGGTGGAGATACATCTGACTGCCCACCTTCGTCTCGTCTCCTCTCGTACCCCGCACCAACTATGTACTCACCCATCTTCGTAGGACCCCACAGCGCGCGACGTCCGCGTCCGCATCCGTATCTACGTCTCCCTCCTCGTCCTGGGGTGCAGGGGGTGCGACGAATGCCACAAACGCGAAGAACACCAGTCCGAATGCGAATCCAAGTGGGAGCGGGAGTGTAGGCCGGGGGAGGTGAGCCTTTTCTTCCTCTACGATACTCTCGTCTCCTTTTACTTTACACCCTCCGCGCTCTGTGCACCCATTTTTTCGTTCTTCTTGCCTTTCTTTCGTTATTTCGTTATTTGGTGGTGCCCTCTTGCTCGTACTCTGGCTGGCGTGCACCCGCCTGCTCTAATTCGCTTCCCCCCTCTACCGACTTCTACCTCTACTCTACCTCTCGTCCTATTTATATGCATATATTTTCGTCGCACCACCCTCACCTTGCTTGCCTTTTTTTTCGTGCTACCCTTTTGCTCGCACTCCGACCGCACGCACCCCCCTCCTTTACTCATCTCTGCTCGAATTTGCTATGGGGGAGACTACTTCTACCTTCACATTGACCGTCACCCGGTCCTCTCCTACCCGCCGCACCACCACACCTTTTTTTCGTTCTTTCTTGCTTATCATCCGCGTCGTGTCTGTGTCCACTCGCTGATCACGATTTTTTCTCTTCGCAGAAGCCTACCCACCTCCTCGGCGTCTGGTTCTGGGTCTGCGTCCAATGCAAATGGCGGGAGTGGGAGGCGAGTTTTTTCTCTTTCTTTGCCTAGCGTACCTGCGCCTGCGCACCATTTTTCTTTCTTCGTTTTTTTCCGAGTCTATTTGCGTTACCTTACATCTGCGCCTGTGTCTGCCCCCCCTCCTGGGTGTTGTCCATATTTTCTATCTTCGGTGCACGAGCACCTTACTTGCTGTCTTTCTTTTTTCCGTGATACCCGCTCTGGCTGGCTCGCCTCGTACTCCGCTCATTTATCTTTGTTCGGATTTGCTTCCTCCCTACCCTACCTATGTCCCGATACTCTACTCTCGTTAACATTTGCCATCATCCCCACTCCTCGATCACCCCCCTCCCAACTGATCACAATTCCTTTTTTTTTTGGGGGGGGGGGTCTATTTTTCGGTCCACGAGCACCTTGCTTGTGGTACGCTCTGGCTGGCTGGCTGGCTGGCGTGCTCTCTCATTTACTCGTTTATTTCCCCTACCCCTACCCTACCTACCTTACGTACTTCTACCTCTACTCTTCTTCCCGTCATCATCCCCGCGCGCGTCTTGCTCCCCTCCCCCCGCTCCTCAGAGTCGCTGATCACGATTTTCGTTTTTTTTCTCGCAGAAGCCTACCCACCGCCTCGTCTGGTTCAGCGGTGACGAATGCAAATGGCGCGAGTGGGAGTGGGAGGTGAGTTATTGTTTTTTTTGGCTACCCGACCCTACCCTGCCTGCGCACCGTCACATTGCTTTCTTAATTGCTTCTTTTTCCCTTTTTTTTTTTCGTGGTACATACCTACATCCTGTTTCCTTTTTCCTTGACCTACGCGCCCTACCCACTCGCGTTTGCTTTTACACCATCCCCACCCCGTTATTCTGCTCCTGGCTGGTCACGATCTTTGGGACGAGCACCTTATAATGCTTGCGTTCTTCCTTACACGGTGACCGCTCTGGCTGGCTGGCTGGCGTGCTCTCTGATTCCTCGCGTTTGCTTCCCCTCCTACATTACCTATGTACCTCTATTCTCGTTTTCATGCACATCATTTCTTGGTTTCTCCCCCACCTACCCTACCTCTACTCTCCTTCCCATCATCTGCTCGCGTGTCTTGTCCCCCCGCTCCTCAGAGTCGCTGACCACATTTTCAATTTCGTTTCACAGAAGCCTACCCACCGTGTCGACGTCCAGGACCCCAGATTCCGCGCCCACGACGACACCAAGGACGCCTACGACGCCACGGACGCCAGGAACGCCAAGAACGCTGCCGCCCCCGCCGACGTCCGCGCCGCCGACACCGCCGCTGGCTGGGCCGTCCTCGGCGTTCGCGTCCACATCCACACCGACATCGATATCTAACGCATCCACATCTAAAGCGTCGACATCCAAATCGACAGCATCCACATCGACATCTAACGCCAACGCATCCACATCATCTAACGCATCCACAACGACGACGAGAGCAGGTGCGGGGCAAGGCGACATACACGGATCGTCTTCGTCCCCGACCCAGTCATCCCCGTCGTCGGGTATGCAATCACCATCGTCGTCGGGTATGCAATCACAATCGAACTCGACTACGGCTACAAGGAGGGTGGACACCCCTACGGCGGCGGAGTCTTTGAGGCGGGCGTTGATGTATGGGGGGCCGAATGGGAACGGGCACAGTAACAGCACCAGGGCCGGGAACACGAACGGCAACACGAACGGAGCCAAGAACGAGTACAGGAACGAGAACGGGCACAGCACCAAGAACGAGCCCAATACCGGGAACGGGGCCACGAACGGGGACAGGACCGAGCACAACACCAGGACCGGAAGCACGAGCCCGCTGGCGCACGTCCAAGCCTTTGCGAGTGCGCGGGAGGCGATTCGGAGGGGGCGGGAGGCGATGGTGGTCGGTGCGGCTGGGG